AAAAAAAAAAAAAAAACACTTAGCTGACCCATAAACCTTGCATTTATTATTCTTTTTTGCATTTCTTCTTTTGGGGAGGAAGATGATTGATCTGGCAAAAACAAGTTAATCTTAGTGGTTAACTCCTCAGCCTTTTTGTACTCCAAACATTCTGGCATAATATAGAACATTTGCTTATTTCATTTCTCTACTAAGCATATTGCCTATTAAGCAGTGCTCTTCTGCAGTTATTTAGGCATCATTTGGTTGTTGCTTTTGCTACTTACTTTTTGCTATTTTCTTTTGCTTTCTAAAAAGTTGCTCAAACAAAATGCAAATGGTAAAAATCGAAACTCATTATGATTAAAAGTGAATAACAAAAGTACAGCACCAATGCCAGCATAGTTGTTCTATATTCTTGTTCTCCCTAATAATTTACCGATTTTAATTTTTGATCACTCAAAACTATTATTGGCTTTTGTATCCAAATGTGCTTTTCGGTTTTTGCTTATGGATGCTAAAAGCAAGTAGCAAAAGCAACTGCCAAACAAAGCCTTATTAACTCTGGCCTATAACCACTTGAGTAATTACTTGCATTATTGTCTTGTCTTATAATATCAGTTGCAGTTCTTGATCACCACTGTTAAGTAATCTTATCCTAAATCAATTAGTTTCAGGTTTTTTTTGATCTTATATTCAAGATGAGCCTTTTCACTTACAGTAAATGGTTTAAGTTGAATGCCTTGTAGTTAGTCAATCATGATACCTTTTTCATCAGTTCAGTATTTAGCAAGATAAGTTTTGAATTTTACAACTATGATGTCATTTTGAAGATCCAATAGAAAATTGAACAAAGGAACTGATACATACATACAATCATAATGTTAATTTATGTTGTCTTAGGTTTATATGATGTTATGTCAAAGTATGAATGTATATATTTCTCTTGAGTTAAAAAAGCTTGTGCTAATACCATGCAACATCAAAGCGAAGTGAATAATAACTGAGTCATATAGACAATAAGCTTAATGATTAATGATACTTGTGTGTAATTAACTACAGATATGTATATATGTGGATGACTTGCGATGGTTCAACCAGTTTAAAATTTTGAGGTTGAAGAGGTGGGATGGGACCTGTAATATTGAATGAAAATGAAAGAATTTAGGATTAACAATACAAGTCAAAAAAAGGATTTGTTGTAGTTCATTCTAATTCATTCATAAATGTAGAGTGCACTCTTAAAACTTTTGGTCAAATCATACTGTACATTTTGTGCATCTACATAACCATGCACTGCTCATTTTTCTGCTCTTGCGCCATTTAGCATGCAATGTATGGATTCTTTATGATGTAATTCCATATCTTGACCATTTAGTTTGTTGGTTTGCTTTTATAAACATTGCTTTATTTAGTATTTGCTTTGGTTCTTATGCTTGATAGTTTATCCCCTTTCTTAAGTCTGACTTCCTTTCTCTCACTGCTCTTGGACAGTATAATGATAATAATGGGAATCCTTACTCTGATGTTTTCTGGCTCGCTGCATTAGTGCTGTCAGTTGGTGAACTTGAATTTGGGCAACAGGCATGTAAACGTATTTTTACTTGCAAGACCTTTTGGTTTGTGTCCTAATGTTTTAAGTATTGTGGGTTTTTCCTCTGTAAGTTCCAGTTAATGTTATTCTTTGTTCTGTTTCTACAACCAACAAGAAGTAACATTTTAAATGACGGTATATGTAACAAATTAGAGCCTATCTTGTTATGTGTGGGTTTATTCCTCCTGCTTGGTCTCTGAATTAGGGAAATCTCAAATCTGTTGCAATTTATGACCTCCAATCCATCGTCATCAGCATCCCTCCCCCCCGCCCTCTTTCTCTCTCTCTCTCTTACACACACACATATGCTCATACATGAATGCGCAATGACAGATGTATGCAAAAATTTGAAAATGCATAATAATTGCAGGATATTCGTATCTTTTTTCTTTGCTTTCCTTTGGTGCTGCTGCGGCTTTTAATTATAAAATTCCATTTCCTTTAAAAATTTTCTCTCTTTTTTCTTTTTTAATTTCTTTTTTGCTTATAGAATAGGTTATGAGTAAGGAATTGTTTATAAAGAATAAAGATGGTGGTTTTAAGACAGCAAGTGAAGCAAGCTTTTGGTTTTTACATTTATTTGATAAGAAGATAGAACAAGCATCTTTACCTATGTTCAGATTTTGGTTTTGGCCATGCATCACCTATGATTTCTCCAGAACATTCATCTGTAGGCTAACCTATCTACTTTTCTTGCATCCTTTCTCTTATGCCAGAGTATTTTCCTTTTATCTTCTCTTCTCAAGCGCATCGATCGGCTTTTGCAATTTGACAGGTGATGATTCTCTTCTGATCTTTTCCAAATAAACTTACTGGTTATTCATGTCTGATTAGAAATGCTGCGTAACAGGTTGATGCCTAGTTACAATGGGATTTTGACAATCAGCTGCATCCGAACATTGGCACAAATTGCATTAAAGCTTTCTGGATTCATCCACCTAGTGTGTTCTTCTCGGGTTCCTTATCTAATAATTGTCTGTTTTGCGTAGAATTTTTTATTTATATATAGATTTTGTTATTCTCTACAGGATCATGTCTGTGAACTGATTAAACCATTTCGAGATTGCAAGACAATCTGGCAAGTACGAATAGAAGCAAGCAGAGCACTCCTTGATCTTGAGTTCAACTGCAATGGCATCAATGCAGCATTGTTGTTGTTTATTAAATATATAGAGGAAGAGCACTCTTTAAGAGGTACCCTTCTGTAAAAAAACTTTCTTTCTTCCGTAACTTTTCCTGATGTTAGTGTGTTTATTTTATTGTTAATGTATAGTTTTACTTTGTTTCAATTAAAATCTGATGTTGTTATACATTCCTTGATTGCAGGGCAGTTAAAGTTGGGTGTGCATGCTATGCGGTTATGTCAGATACGAGGTGGATTAGTTTCTAATGAGAATATTAAGTCGACCACTCTTGTGGCTTTGCTTCAGCTTTCAGAAAGCCGCACAGCATTCAATAATGTATCTCTCCGGCACTACTTGTTCTGCATTCTTCAAGTCCTTGCAGGAAGGTGGGTATGCATTGTCATTTGCCTCTTTGGGATTAAAATTTTCCTCTGGGTAATATGGTTTCTTCATATTTATGTTGATAATAATGCTGGGGAAGGGAATACATCTGAGGATTGAAAGCATATAATTCTCTTACAATTATTGATTCTGATTGTCCTGTTGTTTCATTGCTCGCTTGCTGCACTGAGACTTCTGCTATTTGATAAGCAGGTGAATGTTTTACCATGTTGGGGTCAGGACAAGACTGTTGATTAATAGACAATGCTAGATTCTGCATGTTATGGGATTTTTCTTGGGTAAGGAGGTCAACACAAGTCCCATTTAGGAATTGATGTGGGACAGCATTGAGATGATCTTCCCATGTGGCTTCCATTGAGTTTTTCTTTCAAAATCTTAAGGAGTTTTAGGGTCTTCGGCTATAAGAAAAAAGGGTTAGTGGCTAGGGGTTAATAGTTTAATGGACTGAGTGATATTTGGGGGCAAAATAGTGACTGGAATAAAGATGTTATTTTGAAGATTCTTGGGAGAAGCTAGGCTAAAACAGTGTACCTTTTTTGTTTTTGAGAGATAATATGAAGTTTCATTAATAAAAGAGGATATTAAACGGTAAGTTTAATTAGGATTACCCAATGGGAACACATACATATAATATTTTCCTTACAATGAAATAAATATAAACTCTTATGGAAACTCTAGAAACTCCAGACTTGATTAAACTCTAGAAATTGTGATGATACATATGTGCCAATATTATGTAACAAAGACAGAAAAAACCTAATTTCCTATGGCTGCATTGGGGAGCTTGCTAGGAATGCATTTCTTTATTTGTAATGTTTTACAATTTATAGCCCAATATGCTTGCCCCGGAATTGATTTAGGTCAGAGTTTTGCTGCTTCCTTCTATTCTTTTTGTTTTGTTTTATACTTTTGCTAATCAAAGTTTGAGCTCCCATTTTCAGAACCCCCACACTTTATGGAGTGCCTAAAGATAAGTTACGGCGAATGGGTGATGTGGAGATTTGCAATGAGCAGAAGAACCATTTTGCAGCTCTCGTTGCAGAGATAAAGCCTCCTGAACCTCCCGCGGATAACCCAAACCTTTTGCATGATAATCTGGCCATTCCAGAAGCTTCCAAGGGAGTGGATACTGTTTCCAACAGTCATGAGAGGAAGACAGCCGTTGTTAAGATTAGGGTCAAGCAGTCTGGGACAACCAGTAAAGCAGAGGAAGGCGATGATGCTACTGTCGAAAGATCTCAAGGAAGGCATCATGATGCTGATCGCGGCGCCACCAGTTCGGTTTCAGTGGATGCACCCCAAAGAAATTCAGCTGAGGCTGTGAGCATTAGCAATCAAAATATCGAAGAAGTCAACTCATTTCATGATCACGGGTCTCGGATCACTGCTAGCATTGGGAGTGCAAAAATTGCCAGTGAAGGTGACAACTTTGGTAAGGAACTTCAGTGTACTGCCGATTCAAGCAATGTTGCCGTGTGTCCTCAGCCCGATATTGCGTCATCACCAAGCATCATCCAAGATAACTACATAGATGCTGAAGGCCGAAAGTTTGCAAGTCTTCAAACCCTATCCGTTTCAAGGCAGGATGGTGGTTCATTGGGCACTGGGGATTCTCCAAACCGCGGCAAGGAGAAGAAGAAGAAGGACAAGGAAAAAAAGAAAGATAAGGAAAAGAAACGAAAGCGAGAAGACCACAAAGGGCACCGGGACGATCCCGAGTATTTAGAGAAGAAGCGATTGAAAAAGGAAAGAAAACAGAAGGAGAAGGAGATGGCAAAGCTGCTGAGTGAAGCGAAGACGACTCCAACAACAGAATTGCGAGGTAAGAAAGAGGAAACGACATCTTTAACGAGAGAGTTGCCTGGTAAGAAAGAGGAACTGGTTACCAAGTCAGCAACGGTGCAATTGAAACCAAGTGTACCCCCCAAAGCAGCGATAACAAAGTCGGAAACCAGGACGGAGCCAACAGAAGGTACTTCAGCTCCCAAATTCCGAATAAAAATAAAGAACAAGTCGCTGAATAAATCATAGTGCAAAGTTGTTGGGTCTAGAATGTCACCATTAAACATTGCTGGAAACGATGGAATCATCCATTTTTTTGTTTTTGGACTTTCCTCTCCAGCAATTTTGTAGATGATTTCTAGTTTTAATGTGAAGCAGCGTAGTGATCTATTCTCTTTGATTCTCAGTAATTTCACCTGCAGAGTTGGATGTTTGTTTCTGCACCTAAATAAGCTTAGCAATTTTTTTTTAACCTTGGTTTAAATTTATTTTATTGAATAGTTTTGAAAATTTTCAAAGTTATTTTTTATATATATATAATAAAATATATATAAAATACTTATTACATCATTCTAGCAAAGTGACGTTCGGAAATCTGCAAATAAAATTGTTTTAATGTTATTAGGTGGATAACCCAAGGGGTATATCCTTATAGGAAGTGGTTGTCTAATCAAATTATTAAATTTGAAGTTTTAAAAGGTATACTTTGTTACTACTAAATTTTTAACAAATAAATTGTTTTCTAAAAGGTCAAAATAATAGAAAATTTTTTTAAAATAAACAGTAAAATACTAAAAAGAAAAGAAGGTCGGGGTGGAGGGACGTGCAGCATAGCATGGAGTACGGAGTGGGAGCAGTTGGGAAGGTTTGGTGGCCCAAAATATGGATGAGCTGCAGCCGAATGGAGAAGTAGCAGTGAGCTGAAAGCCATCCAACAAAACCCATTTCTGTCTAGAACCCCAACAGTTGACAATATGTCTACTCATAACACTGGCTGCCTCCAACATTCAAGGGGGACCCCTCCTCCTTAAACCTTTTTCGTGGGCTATAGCTACCAGATCATCTGCTTTTCCACTTTACTCGCCTACTCCTAGCTCTGCATCCTTAGTAATGTGATGCGATGGTGGTGAATATTTTATTAATATTTATTTTTCCATAAATCCAACACTATGATATTAATTTCAAGAATCAAACATATTTCTAATTTTATCAAGATCTTATGTCATCTTAAAATTTAAAACTATATTTAATTTAAAAGATATAATTAATAAATAATAATAAAATTATATTTATATATTTTTATCTTTTATTATTGTGAGATCTATAGTACTATAAACACATATAACATACAGATTTATGAAAACAAAAATCATCGAAACAGACTCTTTCGTAACATTTTATAAAGTTTGACCTTCAAATGTAACTATAAACCTGTTTAACTTCGATTAAGAGGGTTCTTTCTAATGATCAATAATAATAAATTATTGTTGTTTTTATGTGATGAGGCTTTTGAAGTTCTTATTAGAGGTGTTAGTCATTTTTCTTTGAGCTTTGCTCTGATTGGTTCATGAAAAATGGGAAAAAAAAAAGTTCCTATCAAAATTATGGAGAGTAGCTGGTAACCTTATAGCTACTTCAAAGGGTATTGAAAAAACTTAGGTGCGTACAAACAAAAATTGTGTTAGCAAATGCAAACAGTGCTTGTAGTATCAGCATGGATTCTGCAATCTCTGATGGGGATCCTTAAGATCTTGGGGCTTATTCCTGGTCTGTAAGGAAAGGTGCAGACGGTCAAAACATAAAGGAGTCTGCAACCTCTCCATTGCATTTTTAACCCTTTCTTTGTCACTGGGATTGATGTGTACTCACACAAGAAAGTTATTTTATTACTTGCTAGAAACTATAGGAAAGGCTGCGTGGAAGTATGAATTTTGCCATTGGCCTATCACCTATGGTCACTAGGGTTCACAATGAACAAGTTCATCTCTCCTTCATATATTTGTTTTTGAAAGTCATAAAAAGAGATTTCATTCAAAGCCGGGAATGAATATTTCCTCATAAAAGATACAGTCTATACCACCAAAAGAAGACAGATCCATAAATATTTGAGATTATGCCCACAACCAGCCGGTACACCCCACAATATCCCAGGGCTTGACCTGTTCTGTCAGACTACCGCGCCATCAAAAACATCTCTCCTGCATATTATCTTCTGGTTTCCAGTCAAGTTCCCGACATCAAGTTATTGCCCCTGCACAGTTTGACAGTCATTTTTGATTTCATCCCTCTAGGACATGGAGTAAATAGTTAAAAAGAGTAATGAAGTTGACATTTGCCTAGTAATGCTGGTATGAAATTCCAAGAGAAGAGACAAACAAATGCTACTTCATATGGTCTCTCCTTCAATCATGTAGTAAGAAAAACAGACAGTATGACAAATGGGTAAGTAAAGCAGAAGTACCAGGAGCTAGAGGCTTTAACGTTGGTTCTATATTAGGAGTACATAGCTTCATAAATCTAGATTGTAATGTACATAATGCTGAGGCTCAAGTATTACAAGAGCAATGGGAATACAAAGAAATGCATTTACCATATCTGGGTAGATTTTCTTGCATGTTCAGTTGGATTCTCCCCCAGATTCTTCAATAGTTTGTGCAGGTTGGCCAAGGATTTTGTTGCCTCCTATTTTCTCTCAAAAAAATGTCACCTTGGGTTTCTCAAATCCCATTCCAAGACCAGATCCAGCTGACTCTACTATCTACAGGAGAAGTTATAAACATTTTTTTGTCAATTTATTGTATTTATCGATTCTTTTGTTAAATTTAGTATAGACATATCGAAAACATTTTATATGTAATCGTAATATGAGAAATATAAATATTATAAAGTTTTTACTTTTAAAACGTTGTGTCGGTTTTTGTAATATTATTTGTGTGTTGATATCGATTTTCTTTTTAAAAATTACAATCATTTATGGCACTTAATACATGTGCAAGAGATTGTCTTGTTGTCATGAATATAAATTCTAACCCATTAAATCTTTAATTTAATTAATAGTACAAATTCCTTTGCTTTCTTCCTAGATATGGCCTATAAATAAACAAAGACTCCTTGGACACCTAGTACCCTCTTTGCCTCAGGCTCATGTATCAGTACCTAAACCCTTATAAGATCTCTTTCTTCTTTTTTTTTTTTTTACTTTTAAATTTTGTTAAAAAATTAAAACAGCAGTATTAATTTCCAATCTAGGATTTAAAAATCTTCAAATTTACAGTAATTTAAGCCAAAGTCTACTAAACTCCCAGCAAGACATCCCACAAAATTGTGAACTTGATTTATTTATTTATTTTTTTTTTTCACATAATCATTTGAGAGCTCAAGATGAAAAATCGATTAATTCTCATTTTGCCAGACTCATTCGATCGAGTACTTTTTTTAAAATTTTTTTTTATAAAATTGAAAATGTGTTTCATTTGTCGACACATTGATTAATTACTTTTAAATGATAAATTATATGCTCAAATTTTTTTTTTTTATTATTTAGTGTTTTAGCAAGAAAGAAGAAGAAACAACAATGAGAAATAATTTTCAAAACTTAATATCTTCTTGAAAAGTAATACTGAATGGATCATTCATGTTAGGGTTTTTTAAGCTAAATATCAATTAGAATAATAATTGAGGAGAGAAGGGTGGTGGAAAAGATGAAACTTGGGAGGAAGACGTTTATTTTAAAACATTTGAAGCAGGAAAACGTAGCATAGCTACCAAGCTATCTTATATATTAAAAACAGAAACAGAAACCTGAACGGGAAAGCCAAGAAATCAAGCAGACAGAAACCCAAGCGCCTAGGAACCTAAAGCCATAAGCATGCAGGCTTATAGCTACGTCCCTTACCTTGCACTAGCAGTAGCAGCAGTAGTAGTAGGAAGTAACTCTGCAAAAACCCTAGCTCTCTCTACTACCGTTCTTGTCCTCTTTGCCAATCCTTCTTCTTTCTTAACTTTAATGTCTTGTTCCTTTCAGGCCTTTGTTTCTTTGTTTTACTTTCCCAGAATTTGTCTCCTTGGGTTTTCCTCACTCATCTTGATTTATGTGCTTGGGTTTTCTCTTCTTTTGCTTGGGTTGTTTTTTATATGAAGAATTTCAGGTTAATTTGCATGAAGCTATGGGATTCCTGTCTCTCTCTCTCCTTCATGCCTTGGCTTGGCTCTAATGAGTTGCTTCAAACTCAAGGTAAGTAATTAACAAAAGCCCTTATTTTCTTTAAATTGTAATTAGGAATAGTATTTTTTTTAAAATTCTACTTCTATATATTTCCAATCTAATTAGGCAGTGGAGGATTTTTATGATTAATTACTAGCTTTTTCTTTATTTTATGTTTACTATAACCCCAAAAAGAAACATAATGTTACATCAAAATTGATTCTTGCTATAATTCTAGATGTTGCCCTGTTAGCAAAACTACTAATCCTTTTCTTTTTCCATCAGATTTTCTATTAATTTTTGAATTTGGAAATAAAGATATTCTATTTTCCTTTTATGTTTCCCACCCCAAACCACCCCTCAAAAATTCAAAAAAAAATAAAGATTTTGGAATAGGAGTTGGATGGTATTCTGTTATAAAGCTTGAGCAATGCCCATTCAGAGTATTTTATCTAGTAAAAATTAAATTAAGTTATTTTTCTTACTCCACTTTAAACTAATAACTTAATTAAAAAATTTTAATTAAAAGGTAAAATATAAAAACAAAAAAAAAATGCTCTAAATCTAAAGAATTGGGCCACCATTTTCTCCTTTAGGAATATATGGATAAATTTGATCGACAAAGAAATAAAATATTGGCTTTGAAGGTAGAATCTTTGAGATTTAAAAAGAATAAAAAACAATGAAAATGGTAAAGTTGATTATTACTAAAATAATGTAGTAAAATCTATAAGTCTTAATATTATGTCCCCAAAAGAAGACTGCCCATTTCATCAACAAATCCTATTTTCCTTTGCTCTTTTTATTTTCCCCACAATATTATTTTTCAATAAAATTTTTTGTTACTTAAATCTTTGATTATCTATAATATAAGTGTTCTATATGATATTACATGAATTTTTAATTTTTACATGCATGGGTAAAACTTTTACGATGTTTCGAAATCAACTTAAAAATAAAATGTCACTAAATTTGATGTTGATTGAACAAAAATGTTCTCAAAGGGTTATTGGAATGATTTGTTATCGTTTTTTTTTTCAATTTTTAAGGTATTTTGATTTATTATTGAGGTAATAATTTTCTATACAAAGATTTAATCTTGTAATAACTCTTGCAATTGATAAAATTTTATGCTGATTGTCATAATAAAATGTTTTCATATTAATTGTTGAAATATGTCATTAATTAATTTCTTTCCTCGA